CATAATTCAGAATAAAGTTAAAAGCGTACATGAAAAAAATACAAAACAATGAGCAAAAGAGTGAACACGATTTAGATGGGGCAATAATTTTGAAGCAAATTAAGATGAGGAAACATATGAAGAAAGGGGAAATGTTTACAATATTACCACAATAAATATATCGTGATCGAGGAATGCACGTCGATTGCTGGATTGGCTTCCTAGCACCGATGTCTACTAGTGAAAGGAACATGCGAACGTTGCTGTGCAATTAAAAAATCAGCTGTACGAGCGTTCATTATTAAAATCACTACAGAACACGTAAACAAACACAATTGCGGTATGTTAGTCGTTGCACAATTGTAAACAAATGTCTATCTAATATCTCAGGAACGAAAAACTTATTTCTGGCACCCTAACTTAACATATTGAAGTTTATGCAGTAGTATGTGTGAAAACAGGGCCGGAGATTTATGTTGCAAGTGCCACTGCTTTTTAGTCTTGTTTTGTCGTTGAGTATGTATTGATTTCATAGTAGTGTCGCGTCCAAACTAATCTTGTTCGCTTGGAATATCTTCCAAAACTTGTTATGATTCAGTCCTTCATTGGTATAATGCAAGAAATGCGCCTGTAGCTGCCATTCCATGTAATGAAAGCTGGTTGGTTGAAGTTTCTGCTTTTGTCGGTATTCTAATGTTCGTGTATTCTTCCCCAGTATTTTTGTATCGAATTGTAAACTATTCCCAACTTGCGATATCTAGTCGCCTTCACGGCTAACTCCACTAGTCCCATTTCTATGAGGCTTTTCAGTCCCGACTAGAATAAAGCATGATAATGTAAACTCTATGAAGGTATGCGGGTGTTCCTCGTACTTTTGACGGCAAAAAAGTCTTCCTAAACTTTACCACAGAAAAATTTTTCTTTCCTATTTTGACAGTGTTTTGCGAGTTGGCAAGGGGAAAACAGATACATTGATATATGCAGTGGTGGGATTCAGCCGGTTCGCACTGGTTCTATAGAACCGTCTCACGGAATTATTCGAGATCAGCGAACCGGTTAGCATTACTGGTTTATGGTGGCCCATCGTTGTTACGCGTAAAATTGGAAAAAAAATATAAAATAAAATAAAAAAACTTACAATAAAAGTAAAATAAAAAAATAGTTGTGCAAAAACATAAAAAAAAATTAAAAATAAAAACGAAAATAAAATAAAAACGGAATAAAAAAAGCAAAAAAAAAAATTTAAAAAAAAAACGTGAATAAAAAGATAACAAGAGAGCTATGCTCAAATATATGGACACGTAGCGCCACCCAGTGGCAATAATTTTGATGACGTCATAGCGAAAAAAAAAAGTAATAGCCTTCTGGAGAAAAATTTTATCTTAAACCACTGAAAATATCAAAGCAATTGGTCCAGTATTCGAAGAGAAAAGCGACTTTTTGAAAACGTGGCAAAGAACAAGAACAACAACAACAACAACATAATATTGAAACGATCGCTATGTCCACTACGTGTCCAATAACAACAAGAGAGCTACGCACAAATATATGGACACGTTAGACCAGAGCGAATCAGTCCTTACCGGTACCTTTGACGCTACCGGTACACTTAAAAAAGTTCTGAATTTCCAGTAGCAAGAGTTTTGCAGAATCAAAACGTACAGCCAGTCATGACACTGACTAAAATCCGTGTTCCCATGGATAAAAAATAATACAGCGAAATTTTAGACGAAATATCAAATTTCATAGAATTCACGCAAAATTTTGAAATAAATAAAAGTAATAGCCTTCTAGCGAAAAAATTAATCTTTAACCACTGAAAATTTCAAAGCAATTGGTCCAGTATTCGAAGAGAAAAGCGACTTTTTAAAAACGTGTCAAAGAACAAGAACAACAACAACATAATATTGAAACGATCGTTATGTCCAGTTCGTGTCCAATAACAACAAAATTTTGAAACGATCGTTATGGGCACTAAACGTGTCCAATAAACGTGTCCAATAAAAAGGTTGACAACGATGGGCCACCGCGTCCCATCGTTGTCACGCGTTTTTATTTTGAGAAAATTTATTCTGCTTGGGACCAACGTTGTCATGCATAATCCTACGCGCACAAACGGTGTTCCATGGGTTTCTAACTCACTACTGATTTGCTTGAGCAATATTCAATAAATTTAAAACGAAAATGTTCTATAAATTCTCCATGCTACAAGTTCAACTAGAAGTAATATATTTATAATAATGATGAGAGAATATAGAATTAAATACGAAAATTCGGGAAATTTGCTTTTACGTGTAGAAGGTAATTGAATTGGAAAATGCTGCTCAACTGCTCAGTTGTACGGACACTCTTGCGATACCGGTACCGTCTGACCGTACACCCATGCAATCACTCATGAAACGAATGGGAGATACGGATAGTCTAGCTCTAGCTAGTAGAATATAGTGAATCGAGAGATGGATTGAGCGCAGCCAGTTACAGGTTGTACGTAATAATAATTATCTGCATGGTACCGGTTATTGTAATTGTCATGGAGGTAAGGTACCGGTACCGGTCAGTGTGGTTTGAGAGTTTCTGCATGGTTTGCGAGGAATTCACCGTGTCCCAACCATATTTCAACTCTGGTCTTTGAACTAGCATTTTAAAGATAAATAACTAATAATCAATATCTACTCGAAATAATAATTAATTCTAAACAAAAGTGTAGGGTAGTGCTGTTTCCAAATATGTAACCCTTGAATATCCTACTCGCAGATTTATTTTCTGTTTTTCAGGTCGTTCCGTGATGATCAATACAATGGCTAGTTTATTGAATATAAATGGTGTCTACAACAACAAAATTCTCAGGCTGATGTCTCATCCACGATAAACTTGAATTGACATCTATTACGCCACAATAATTATTAAATGAAGAAATGATCCTGCGAAATAACAATACTAATTCCTTTATTCCTAATTCCTTTATCCTTGCAGAAGTCAATATCTAAGAATGAAAAAAAAAAAAAACTTATAACCTTAGCAACCAACATATTCGTATACCCTGTCTTTTTACCTTAATTAATTAAAATTACTCATACCTATAAAGTTACTGATAGATTTAAATACTTATTACAATCTGGACTATAATTTGGCAATAATAGGCTCTAGTTTGGGCAATGAAGTGCACCCAATTCTGGCAACTTTGGTTGGGCATTTGACTCCATCTATAATCAGCTTGACAATATATTTTTTTATAAAAGTTTATGTTTACTGTTCACTCCCATTTATAAAATTGATCAATTTGGCAGTAGCAATCATCATAAATTTATTAATATGGTGTGGCAAGTAATTTTTATTAACTACCAGTATGTAATTTTTCATGTTCCCTTTACTTAATAACTTCTATATGGTTGTGTGTGTGGGTGCGTGTGAGCGTGTGTGAAATATCTCAATTATTTTAGGTGAGTGAACACGTACCACATCTTTTTGGCAAAACCTTCCATCTTATATACATTCTGTACGTTTTAAACCTTATCTAAGGTTTTGTTCGCTCTCCTGATTTCATAATCAGTTTTTATTTATTTATTTTTACCATTCATTTTATTGTTTTGCTGATTATGGAGTCGAAATAAACTTATACCGGTAACCTACGATGAATAAAATGTGAATAATTTACATAGCACAGACATGAATTAATAAAAAAGAACTGTGTGCATAAAGTAGCCTAGTTAGACTCGTCCGTCGACTCTAGCCACTACTGTCTGATCGTACAACCACGAGGCTGGAAGTCGATTATGGTTAGACCTGATTTCAATGGAACGTGCATGTCGGCATGTGCATCGGGCTCAACCATTTATTTCAATCCACCCATCGATTCACCATATTCTACTAGACTGACCGTATCTCCCACTCGTTTCATAGAAGACTGTATGCTGGGTGCCGGGTGTGATCAGACGGTATCGGTATCGCACGAGTGTCCGGACAACTGAGCATTTAAGCAGCATTCTCCAATTCAATTACCTTCTACGCGTAAAAACAAATTTTTCGAATTTTTGTATTCAATTCTATATTCTCTTATCAATATTTTGAATAGATATATATTTTCTAGTTGAACTTGTATCATGGAAAATTTATAAAACATTTGCATAATAAATTTATGGAATATTGCTCAAGAAAATCAGTAATGAGTCAGAAACCCAGGGAACATCGTTTGTGCGCGTAGGAATATGTATGACAAAGTTGGTCCCAAGCAGAAGCAAATTTTCTCGAATAATAAGGTTGACAACGGTCACGCTTTTTTATTTTCTTTTTATTCACGTTTTTTATTTATTTTTTCAATTTTTTTTTGCTTTTTTATATTCCGTTTTTATTTTCGTTTTTAATTTTTGTTTGCATTTTATTTTTGTTTTCATTTTTTTTTATGTTTTTTCACAACTATTTTTTTATTTTACTTTTATTTCAAGTATTTTATTTTACGCGTGACAACAATGGGCCACCATACTGATTACTATCAATTTTTGTTTGTAACAGAACCGGCTGAAAAATATGACATTTGTGAAGGAACCGGTTGACAAAAATATTGAAATGTGTTTATTTCGACTCCATAATCAGCACAACAAGCTAGAGAATAATTTAAAAAATAAATAAAACGGATTATAGAATCAGGAGAGCAAACAAAGCCCCAAATAAGCTTTAAAGCGTACAGAATTCAGATTGAAATGTGTTGCCTAAAGAAGTGGCACGTAAACACTCACTCAAAAGTATTTGGTTAATTCACACACGCACACAACCCTGGAGACATAGAGACGTAATGAAATAATAAAAATATTAATATAAGATATAATATTCTGTAAATAAAAAGAAAACAGACAAATCTTGACCATGAAAAATTAACACAAAGCTAAATTGTTTGATTCAATGTAGTTCGACGAGATTTATGTATAAACTTATCAATAATGAAAACTCCTCGTTATTACAATGCTTGACCGCATATCGCACGAAGGAATCATTTCCTGATCGATCGATGAAGGAAAATCAATAGACTGACAAAAAATTATCATTCCAGTTTGCTTTGTAAGTCAACGTCACAAATTCGTAAACGATTTATCATCCGTATCCAGTGTTTTCTATCTGATGCGTATAAAATGGAGAACGCCACTACAGAAAATGAAATTTTGGATTGGAGTTATCATTGCGATAATCATTTTATTCGACTTAAAAGCTCAATGGAACTTACTGACTACTACTGTTCATCTAGAGACGAAACATAGGATTTCAGGAAAACAGTCTAATAGCATGCTATCGAATACAAGCAAGCAAAACGAGCAATACTCTTACCCACCAGAAAATTTTCAAGTCAATGGATCGGATATCATGGTGCAACTTCATATTCAAAAAACTGGTGGATCGAAATTTGAGTTCAAGATCATTAGAGACCTACAATTACAGAGAAATTGCAGGGAATTACCAAGAAAAAAGACAGCTCGATGTTTTCGACCAAATTCGCAAACGGAACAATGGTTATTCAGCAGGCAAACCACAAGTGAGATTAGCCGTATTTTACACTTTGCTACGCGTAGGCCTACTTCATACATTTCAGTCGGTTGTTTACACAGGATAGTTTTGCCAAAGCAAATTCAAAATCTATTAAAACGGGAATATGCGATCAGATATTGAGCTCTCTCATAATAGAAAAGTATTTATAAATGCCTAATTGGGTTTCTGGGTTAAACAGTAAAATTCTGCCTAACTTCTTTGTTATATAATGAATATATACTGTAGTTAAATATTAGGCTTCTCATGGTACTCATATTTCATATCATGCTATTGCCCATAGATAGTACCAAAGGAAGGTTATATAGATCTCATGTTACTCAAATAGAGTAACTGCAGTAACAAAGTTTCAACCTTTTCAATATTTTATGGTAAAAGAAAGAATGATTTATATTTACCGTAATTTATTTGTAACTTTGTGATGACAACTTCATAACGGCGTACTATACCAATACAATGCTCACCAAAATAACAGTGGCTATATATTGCCAATCCTGCAATTGACTTTTGTTTGGTACTCCCGAAGTATGTGAACCAAAATGGCGGACACCGGAATGTTGTATGTGTACCAGGTTAGGGTTATGCCATAATTTCAGATACAAATACTACGGGAGTCGCTTGGCTAGTCCCCAAACTCGCAATAGAACTGAAATGAGGAAAATTGGAATAAAATTATGACCTGACGTTTTGCTACTTATTTGTTACTTTCCGAAGTTTTAACTAATTCATCAAGATAGTGGTGAACCAATTTAAAAATTCTAGTATAATTGGGCGAACGTGATGAATTTTGATATACATAAGAATGTGAACTACCCGTCATGTATAAATAAAACATTGGAACGCCATTGTTGGGATGACAGGTAGCGAAGACTCAACAATATTGTATATATGGCAAGTGGCAACAAGGGCCGGGTATTTTCGAAACATTGGTGAATCAAAGTCGAAACGAAATTTTAATTGGTGTTAAACATTAATATCAGTGTTTCAAAACGCCCAGCCCTGTTTACAACTGATGTAATTATTGTGGATTTTTTTTTTATATATGATTTGCTGTTTTATACCAATAGAATGGGCATGCGGAGTTCATGCAGATTGGACATCACTAACCGAATGCATTGGGCACAGCTCAAGTAGATTCGAGATGAAGAAAAATTCTTCCGATTACAGGTTTCCACTATTTGTTATTGTGTAGTTTGGAATGGTGACTCTGAATGAAATACTAAATAACATTAGATTACATCAACGAGGATAAAATAATTAGTAAAGTGTGTTCGTCTTCCTTTGGAGTAGACTGTTTATATGTAGAAATTTATATATATAGAAATATATTTGAAGGACAACAAATTTGCGATCATTTCACTTATGAAACGATTAAAATTGATGAAACATGCGTGATGAAATCAATTCAAAATTAATGACTTTAATCTGTTGCACAATGTAATTACTATGCGTAAATCCAGAAAAGGGCAAATAAATTCAACGACGATTAATTAATGTATTTTTTAGATATTTTTACATAACTTTGCTCAGGAATCCAATTCAACGATACATTAGTGAATGGATTCATGTAAAACGAGGAGGAACATGGAAAACTACTAAATATGTTTGTAAAGGCCAACGGTCATATATTCCCCGGTGCTACTCAGGTTAGAATACCGTAATTATTCAGATTCGCGTAGCGTGAGTGTTAAAAATAAACGCAACGTATCGAGTATCAATATAATAAAAACTTACCTGTTACAGTACCGGTCCGGTACCGTCAAAAAAACTTCCCATAGTAGCATGAGAGAGGTGGAAACACCACTACAAATAATTTGTATTAATTTTCAAGAAGTCGTCACACATAATTTCGAAGTAAATATCGGACACGAAATTGATCGCCGGGAAGCTATTACTTTTTCGTGTCCACATATTTGAGCGTACGTACGTTTGCTATTGCAGTTTTTAATGATAAAATTTTTTTCTCCAAAACTAATTCGTCAATCAGTTTCATTTTTTGTGCTTAAAACTGGTATAGGTCGCTATTGCTTTTATTTTATTTTTCCTAATCTTCTACGATGAATATATATTTTGTTCAATATTTTGCTACTCTTTAATAAATCATGGGAACACTTTTTATAACATATGGTGACACTTTTATATGACATTTGACTGTCAAAATGTTTAACCATTGTTCTTTTCCCCATCTACATCAACAGGAACAACATGGTCTGATGTAAGTCTTTCAAAATTTATTGAATGCCAATATAATATGGCTAATAATCGACAGACGAGGATGCTCGCTGATCTCAAATTAGTTGAATGTTACAAGATGTTCATGACAAATGAAACATATCCTGATGTTTACAACGTTTGGCAAAGAAATATGTTGAATAGTGCGAAGCAAAATTTGGAGGTATATTATCTTTTTATGATTTGTAAACAACTACTACCATACGACACGAGCAGGGGCACAACATATTAAAGGCTCGAAAAAATAAATAAATAAAATAAATCACGGTTTTACTGTATAATGCGTGTTTTCAATTTATATGTCTGCATGTAAACTTTATATCCAGCATGCTTTCTCAAAATAGGTATCCATTTAAAAAGGGGTTTCACATCCGAATATTTAAATGTAATGCTCCTGGAAAAGGGTTGTTCCGGGATAAACTTCGTAATTAACAAATTTTTTAGATGTTTTCAAAATACATTCTTCAATATTTTTTATTTCGATCATCGTTGACTACAGCCTTTTTGTTAATTCATGATTGTGTGTGAAACAGTGATTAGCATTATTATTTTTGTCGTGAACAAGATGGTCTACAATCTGAAAATCTTGCAATTTCTAGTAAACAGAGGTAACTTTGATAGCTTTTCTTGTGCAGTCAATGGCTTTCTTCGCAATAACGGAGCGGATGGAAGAAAGCCAAATGCTTTTTGAACACAAGTTTGGTCTCCGTTTTCAATCAAAAATGGAACAATGGGATAAAACCAATGCAAATACGTATCAACTGACAAAACGAGAGATGGAACAAATAAAACGTAACAATCAATTGGTAAGTAATATTTCAGTAAAAAGCATGCTGAAAAGTTCAACGCATCAAGTGACTAGTTTCACGTCAAATATTTTAAAATAGATTAGCAATTCACTGCACTCTATCAAAATTATAACAATACGAAATAATTTAATATGCTAAACAACGTAAAGTTATTTCGAATTTTGGCACTTATCAAAGTAGATTTTTCTTTTGATATATAAATGTCTTTTCATTACTTTCAGGATATGGAGTTGTACGAGTTTGCTGTAAAACTATTCAACAAGCGACTGTCATTTATTAAAACACAACCACGGATTATTGTGTGAAGTTTTCCTATATTATGCACCAAAATACCAGCAATTACTTATGGCAGATGTTGATAGTGTTAAGATTGAAAATAATTTTCGAAATTAGGTAATATGAACTGTCTGAATGAAACGGCATAACAACGATATTCGAGATTCATTTGTGTTGGAATACTCACTAATTCGACAAGTGTATATTTTGTTTTATTTGGATAACATATATATAAGAAAAAAAAATCAAGTATTATTATATATAATATATTTACTATATATATAGCATAATATACTGTACATATAAACTCTACTTTCAATATCGGCAAACTTAAACTGCCTCATTTTTTGTTAATAAAAGAATTTTATATTTAATTTTCGTGTGTTGTGTTTTAAAGATTTACTTCTCCTGAAGTAAAGATAAGTGCATTGGTACTACAGTCTACAAGGTATGTTATTATGTGTAGGATTTGTAAAATCACCGCCGTAGGTCTGAACTATTTTTATAACAGTGTTACACATCTGTGTCTTAGGCCAGTAAGGTCTTGAACATGTATCCCGTCTCTTTTATACCGTTTGACGTAGTGGTATATTTAAGGTTTAACGATTATGCAGATACTGTTACATTCTGAGGCAAATAAACATACATACGATGAGCCACACCGCCGCTTAGATGTCAGATAAACCGAGACCAGTATTTGCATGAAATAAAAGAGAGTGAGAGAGATATTCATTATTTTGTCAACCAAAATACCAACAGTCATCATACGAAAAAATGTAACAGGAATAAAACCGCTTTGGTATGGAGGTATTGGTTAATACTATCATTTCAGTCTTGCTAAAATGAACTTAACTGACTTGTTCTGGCCACTTGTTTGCATTTTTTTTAAAAACAACAACTTTTGTAGTCCATTCAAACAGATCCAATGGTTTAATATAATAGTTGATCCAAAATTGCACCAACTCTCTTCGGCTACATCTAGTTAGCCTACAGTTCTGTAATTAGATTCACTGGAGGATATATTTTAGTCCGTGTTTTCCAAAGTTTCAGTCCAAAAATGTCTTTTTCCATCGTCCAATATTGCGTCGGCATCCGACGGCGCTCAGATCAGAATTCCTGTTAGCTATTCCACAACCTCATGTCGTACTTATATTGGTATCCGGACAAGACGATCCAACGACTAACATACCGAGACGATCGTAGTAAAAACTATCTCAATATATTCTTCATCTCCTATTTTTATTACTGATACGCTGATTAGAGTCTACTTGTTTTTAGGGTACGCGCAGGATGTTATGCTCCTAGCAGACAGTCGGACTGTTGGCTTCGGTTTACAATGTGCTTTACCCGCATAAAGTTTTGTTAATGGAGAAGTATTGGATGAATAAACAAACAAAATATTAATTTTATAGAATATAATTGATTGGACTACAAATTTGCTCACGGATATTAAATAGACCTATGTTCTCTTCTCAGTTATATTTCATATTCAAATATTTGCTATCTGCTGATGCTGATCTGAATTCAGTAATTCCAGAATTCTGTGATTACTGAATTAGCTTTAGTCTAGGTAGGCTTAATCAGAAGCAATCTCTGAATCTGCAATGGATGATTCGACATTGCCAAAACCATCATACAAATTAACCTTGAAATCATCGTATCAACCTGCTACAGAAATTATTCCTACCCCGTTACCTCAAGGTAAGTCCGTAACTTCTATGATACTGTCCGGAGCTGCCAATAATGTATTATTCAATTTAGCACCAACTGAAATAAAAAATATTGTCATTTATATGGTTACTTACAAGTAGTCTATGTTTTTTAAAACCTAGGTATTTTTTTAATTATCGTACTGAATTACTGGTTTATTCATTCATATTTAAAATATGTCAGTATCATATGTCTGTATGTGCTGATCATTCTGTCATTACAGATTTTATATTTGAATGTGCAAAAAGTTATTGAGTTTTCATCTTCTGTTTGGGATGTAAGTAATGCAACAGTAACTAATGTCTCAATCTCAAGTCCTATACAATTTACTGCCAAGTAATTACATTCTAAACGCAGAAACAACAAGCTTATACTGGTACCAGATGTTTGAAATTCAACTCCTAATTGTGTCTCTCAATTCTAGGTCAAGAGAAAATTCTTCTGAATTCTCAGCATTGTTCTGATGGGAAGCAGAAATATGTTGTGTATCTTAATCCCAGTATCCAACCTAGCTCTTCACATGAAGGTAATTTATTACAAAACAACATAGTTTAAAATATATTAAGAGCATCAGTAAATATTTCAATATGCAGAACATTTAGTGTGCTTCCATTTGATGCGTTTGAAGATGTGTTTCCTTTTAATTTACCGCATGAGTTCAAGATAGACATATCAAAAAGCCTTGTCTCAAATATATTGCAATCATCATAGATTGTTTTGCTGTGGAATAGATGCATTTAGAAAATGCAAAATCTTAATAATATCATATAGACTTTGACAAGAATAAATTGTAAATAAATATAGTAAGGAAATACCCGTACTGGAATCCAATGATTATAATAACAGTAGTAACTTGTATTTTATTGCTCACAGTTAATAATTATATTTTAGATGCCAGAGGAAACTCACAGATTAAAGTAAAATTGGTAAGCAAGGATAATGTATACACCAGACTCAATTTCAAATTGTTCGTATTTTTGTATTTTACGATGGAGATTGTCTAATTTATTAATATGAAAGTTTTCGTTGTTGTTTATATTTAATATACCACATCTTCAAACAAATACTGCATTTTCATAATCAATTACCTATTTTGGACTATCTCGGTGTGACATATGTGTCCAAGTTTAAAATTATGACATAACTAACCACAGTCAGCACTCGTCAATAACTGTGTTATGCACTTACGCTATCTGTTTATTTTTGTTTGATTTATTGCCTATTATCCTAAGCCAATTTCCCTTTTTACCAATCATCTCATGGAAATGTTTTTTCCATTCCAAGCCTGAAAAGTCTTCACCATCTACATTCTCAAGAAACACAAGGAATTCTACAAGAAAAATACTTCCAAGAAAATCTATCAAACAAAATGCACAATACATTGTAGTACCAGCATCAACAAATATACAAAAACTTCAAGCTCGACTACTTTTGCCATCAAACTCTGTTTCAATTCCAAAACAAAAATCTGCCCCTGATTTAAGAACATTATGTCAAAGTGTATCTCTGCATCCAAGTCAGTTTCAGCAAAGTATCCCTGAAACTTCATCAACAGGATTTCAAGTGAGCAGTTTTAACACGGCAAGCATGTCAAATGATAATGTTGTATTGCAAGATGATATTGGTCAGTTTTCTTCTAGAAATCAGTTCGATACTGAACAATTGATGTCTAATTTTAGCAAAGCTGACTCACTTGTTCCACATACAGAAGAAATATTTTCTGGGCCATATTTTCAAAGTTTGATAGAGGGTGATAGCAGCATGTATCATCCAACATCTACAAATGAAAATGTAGAAATTGGTCATGTTTTAAGCGAGGATGCCAATACTCACCCATACCTGATACAAATACCCATGCCATCATCGCAGAATGTGGCTGGGACAACTGTTTTCACCTCACTGGCAAATACGACTTGGAGGGCCGAGCTTGGTAATAAAATAATAAATAGTGAGGTATCGTCAAATATTGATAATATCGCAGGAGTGTCTTCAACAGGTATTATTATTTTTTATATTATAACTCATTTTCAGCGAGCTTATTCAATGAGCATCAACTTCCATTAAGTTTCCAAGCTTTTGAGAAAATGTAAGAAGGTAATTTGTCATGATGAAAAAGAATATGCAAGAATCAATTTTACTTTTTTGTAAAATAACATGCAGCACAAATACTAAATTAACTTGATTTATGAAATGAATTTTTCCATAGTTTGATGTTACACACAAAGAGGTAATGTGACCAAGAATATCTTTCGTGAAATTTTTTATAATAATGATCTAATCTAATGTGAGGCATCAGCCACCATACATACGTCTTGTATAATGCGGAAGATAGCTATCACAATGCTACTGTGATAGCCATGCAACTCGGCAAATTGTTTTCTTCTTCTTCATTCAGGACAAGTAGATGTTGAAATGTCAGTCCAATCAATTAATTTAGATGGTCATTCCACTGGCTTGTTACAAAAGCTTGATGAGTTCAGGGTGAGTTTTCCCATTTGCCACAGTAGTGTAATTTGCACCCCAAGGAATTGACTATTATCAATCAGTGTAAAATTTGATTTCCACTATGAGATTGATTATTGAATGCATTATCACTATGTTTTTTTTAACATTATCATGAAAGTTTACTATTGCTATTTTGTTGAAAGTTTTCAATGATAAGCTCAAAAATAAACGAATGCTTGTATAAGGGCACAAAAATTGTATCCAGAATTTAAGTTTCCAGTTGCTTCTTGAACGATGTACATATGTCTTAACAAAATGCTATCTTTTCAAATCTCTGTGGTATTCTGGCAATCATAATTTGAAAATGGTGGAATTTAGACATGAAATCTTAGGAGAACACTTTTTTATTAGAAAAAAGAAGAATTCTGTGATCTTACGATTGTAATTGGACGAACAGAAATGCATTGTCATTCAGCAGTTGTTGCAGCAATGTCACCTGTACTTTACTGTCTATTACAACCTCAATCTCAATATGGAACAAGTCTTAAAAGGTGATGGGTGTTTTTGTGTATTATTCATATTGAAAGTATTGAGCCAAAGTTGACTATCAACTCGTATTTTTGTATTCTAATGGTCTAATGTTCACTAAAGTACTGTGGAGAAAAAAATAGTTGGAATCTGCACTACTATTCGCAATAATAAGAAATGGTAGCTATTTGGATCATCGATGCCCTAATGGTTTGAAGCGTTCTATATAAATATTTTAAAAAATTATTGAAAATGAATGAATGATGAATGAATTTTTACATGTGTGGTCTGCGGTGTAATACCGGGTTTGCAGGTACAAATTTCATGGGGCAAATTATGTGCGAGAGGATTGCTGGACACCTTGCCGCTGAAGGGTGGTTCGCATGACCACGATTTCCTCCACTCTCAATTCCATGCATCTGAAAACAAAAATAACTGGTTAACTACCGGTAATCCCATACCAGATATGGACTGGTCACTAGACTGGAGGACGTGGTTTGCCATATGATTAAGTTGCTTAATGACCTATCTCTCCCCAAAATAAATATGTAGATCCTTGTTATTTGTATATAGCTTGCTATGACTATTGAATATGCAATATGAGTATACTTGTAGTTATATTTTCTTCCTGATTTTAGGAAAATTTTCATCAAGCTCGATGACAAACTGGATGCGGTCTCACTTTCTGACT